TTTGAGGAAATCGAACTTCTTAATCTTCTATTGTTTATGAAACCTTAATCTTGATCTCCAATAATGCCCAAAAGAGGGCTGCCATTAGCCTCTCAAAGCTCTCTTAATTCTAAATTTGAATGGGTATTTATAGGATTTTAAAAATCCTAATTGAAATAAAAGTAGGACTTGGAACAGAAATGAAAAACTGAATTTTGGATGCTGATCACGTGGTGCTAACACTTCATATTATGTGTTGACACAAAATAGGAAACAGAATCTGATTCTAAACGTTTAACGCATGGTGTCTACATCCCGGTTACATGTTGACACTACACCCGTGCCGGATTTTTGGCCTCCTTTTGCAATTTCTTCAATGGTAAAATAGCAGATCTGGTCCTTCAGATTTTGTACTATGAGCACTTAGATCCAAAAACTCAAGATTCATTCATTTAGGTTCCAAATGGCCGCCCTTCTTCTTGCAATTCAATCCCTCAACTTTTAGAAAATATTCAATAAATCCTAAAAACTCTTATTTTATGCATTGAAATCTTTTTTTGCACAAAGAATGAAAATCATGTAAAGTCTCATAAAACTCAGTAAAATCTCATAAAACTCTTCCAAATATTAATAATATCAAGGCAACAATTCTATATTAATATGTATATAATTTCAACTCATCAAATTCCCCCAAACTTAAGTTATACTCGTCCTCGAGTAAGATAAAAAGACAAGGAAACAAAAATAAAATCTAACTCACTTTCATAAGAATCACGATTGCACTTAGCATGTGCAACAAGCCTTTAAACCCCTAGGTCACCCTAGTGGACGAGTTGTGCCTCGTGAGGGTTTGCAACGGATCTACCCACAAAACCCCAATGAAAAAATGCAACTATATGATATGTATGCAAAGAAAATTTAGGAATTAAAGTTCAATTAGAGGCAAAGTCTCAAATATTCAAAAGTTCTCATATGCTCACTTAAAGTAAAATACTCCATCTTATTCTTCACACCACTTGTTAAAAGATTTAGCCCATGAGCACGTAGTGTGTGTGTGGAAATTCATAGTAAGAAGTTTCGAGTTTAGACCTTCACACCTTAGCACTTATTACTATCTTCTTCTTTTTTTCTCCCCTCGATTTTTTTTTTCATAGGTTGAGTTTCCTTAGGCTTTCTAAGTTACCCATGTAACAAGCTTTTTGTCAATGACTCCCAAACCAGTTGGCTTTAAGGCATTAGGTGAAGAGACACCCCTAAGAACATACTTACTCAAGTAACAAAGGCCACAAAACATTTGACTTCTCTTCTTCTTCTTCTTCTTTTTTTCTTTTTTTTTTTCTTCAGCCATACAACACATTCTTCCCTAAGTTATCACTTGTCTTTTGATGCAAATACTAACATTTGTGATGAAAACACCCGGTTATTCAACAAGTCATAAACTCAAAGTCCATTCATATTATAAAATCTTATAAAACTCATCCAAATATCAATAATATCAAGGCAACAATTCCACATTAATATGTATACAATTTCAACTGATCACCAAACAACATAAAGTCGTGTACAAAGAACAAATGAGAGAGAGGCAATCCCCCACGTGAGATCTTGGATGGTTTCCACTGGTGTTGCTATAGTTTGCTCAAAATCATGTATGAGAGTTTCTCCATGACCATAATAAAGAGGTAGGGTGATAAAGGATTGCCTTAACATAACCTTCTTTGTGGTTGGAAATAAGGGAGCTTTTCTCCTTTCCAGATGTTGTAGGGAAGTAACCAAGAACATGATTAACTAGATTAAAGGTTCAAGAAGATTAAAGTCTTCATTAAGCACTTCTTTGAGGAAACCTCAATCCACACTATCAAAAGCTTTATGGAGATCAATTTTGAGAGCAAAGGCCCCTTTCTTTCCTTTTAACCTTCGCATGGAATGCACTACCTCCTGAACTAAGATGATGTGATCTGTAGTACTTCTGCCAAAGAGAAAGTTGCTTTGCCAAGGTCTAATAAGATTCTGTAGATGGGGACGTAGTCTATTGGCAATCACCTTAGCAAGGATTTTATAACTAACATTAAGTAAGCAAATGGGTTTGAATTTTTGAATCACGTGGGTTGTCCACTTTGGGAATAAGGGTGATATGTGCATGGAGTATCTCTGGCTCAAAAGAACCATCAACAAGAGACTTATTGATGAAAGAGTGTAATGTACCTGAGACAACTTCCCAGTGTTTTTGATAAAAAAATTGGCTGTATTCCATCTGGGCCAGGGCTTTTTAGACCTTTCATTGAAAAAAGAGCTGCTTTTACCTCTTCTATGGAAACCGGGAGCAGTAGGGAGCTACTAGCTGCATCTGACAATTTAGGCTGGAAACAAGAATAATCCCCGAACATGGCTCTTGTCTCTTTTTGGGAAAACAAGCCAGCAAAAAAGTCACGAACATGGGTCTTTAAGGCAATATTGTCTGTTACCCATGAGTCATTTACCTTCAAAGCCGTGATTCTATTCCTTGCTCTCCGAATAACAGTGGAGGTATGGTAGAATTTAGTATTGCGGTCGCTTGAAGTGATCCATTCTATCCGAGATTTCTGGCACCAGAATAGTTCTTCAGCGTGTAGTACGCTGTGGTATTCCCTTAACAAATCAACTTCCAAACTCTGCAGGAAGTGTGAATGATGGTAATGGGGGGAGTTCTGTATGCCTGCAAGTCGTGCTTGTAAAAGCCTTTTACGACAGAAGATGTTTCCAAAGACTGTTTTGTTCCAATTGAAGCATGCTGTTTGAACGGCATTAATAGCTGAAGGAAGAGATTGATCATGTGCTGCCCATGCATTGTTGAATATATCCCTGAAATCCACATGAGTAAGCCAAGCTGCTTCAAATCTATGTGGTTTGGCCGTTTGTTGAGTCGGAGCTGCAGGGTCTATGTGCAACATGATAGGGTGGTGATCACTACATAACCTTGGTAAATTAATGAGCTTTGTATTTGGAAATTCTGCAAAACCTGAGAGGTTTAGCAAAGCTCGATCAAGCTTTTCCCGTAGCACGACTCTCCCATTTGTTCGGCGAACCCAAGTGAACTTGCAGCCTAGTGAGTCTTTGGACAGTAGATTGTAGGCTTCCATATGGTCTCGAAAGCGCTGTGCACTAGAAAATCTATTTACAGCTCTTATAGCTCGACTTGTGGCATCCCTCTCACAAGTGATTTGGGGTCTTATCTAGGAGTTCCGATCCTCCACGGTAGGTCCAAACCCAGTACATACAAGTATATTCTGGAAAAAATGCAGTTGAAGCTTGCGGGATGGAAGCAAAACCTTTTGAGTATGGCCGGTAGAAGAACTTTGATTCAAGCTGTGACATCTTCGATACCCATCTACACCATGCAAACGGTCCTCCTACCAAGCAGTATTTGTTCAGAAATCGACACCTTAAACCGTAAGTTTCTCTGGGCTGTCGATATGCAATCAAACAAACCACATCTTGTTAATTGGAATGATG